AAAAAAAAAAAGAACCCGTGTATTTCTTCAGAGCCACACCATTGGGAATTAGGACGATACTGGAAAGACTGGCTAGAGGGCTGAGGACACCAAAGTGCTTCTTAAATTTGTAACAGTCTTTTCTTCATGTCCTAGCCCATTGTAACAGCAACAAAAACTAGAAGGTTTTTGGTTTTGTTCAGAGGCCTTCATTTGCCAGAGTTGAAAATTGAGAATTTTAGTGGTCTTTCTTTTAGGTGAGTCATCTAGTATGTGAGCAAGCTGGTTTGCCATATTAACTAAACCTGGAGTGGTCAATTTCGCATCCTGGTCCTTTTAACTAAAAGAGAAAGATCCCAGCTCAGCTCATTAGTAAACATAGAGTTAAATGCTGCCTGGGTGGATTCAACATTTAAAGGAGGATCAGAACATTCTTAAAATAATTTAAACTGATTCTAATAGTCATAGACAGTTTCATTAGACTTTTGTGGGCAAGCCTGAATTTTGTTCCAGTCAGCAGGTGGAAAATGCTCCTGTAGTTCATTGGAGATTTCCAGGGAGAGTGCCAAAAGTTAGAGGTCTATTTCTCTAAGTCCCCTTTTGGATGTTTCCTTCAGGCTAGTTTCATCCATTGTTTGACCTGGTCCTCACCAATAAGCATGTGGACTATTTAAATATGAGAAACCAGCTTGTTAAGTTTGAATAACTATGTGAAATTCTTCAGCAAACTTATGGGGGTCCTTGGTCACTTTAGGAAACCCCTTCACTATGGACCACAATTTGGCCCTAGTCTAGGCAACATAAGAAATTTGAAGTTTATTTAGATCCTCAGAAGACTTAACTTTAAAAAGGCAATTTGACTCGGCTTAGGAGAGGAATGAGTGGGGAGAGATTCAGAGGAAAAAGTAAATTCAGTAGACAAAACAGAACAAAATGGCACTGGAGGTGGGGGCCTGAGCACAAGGTGGCCACCAGCTGTCTGTAGACAAAAAAGATGGAAAAGGGGAAAAAGGGGCCTTAGAAGCCATTTTTGCCTCTTTGAATTGTTTGCCTCAGTTAATTTAGAAATAGTCTTTTGCAAAAAGGAAATTTAGAATTCTGAAAACATCTGGAAGCCTTGAGATACTATTTAAACTAGCTATCCTGGGCTGTCTGGTGACTCATCAGTTAAGTGTCGGGACTCTTGATTTCCACTTGGGTTATCATCTTGGGGTTGTGAGATTGAGTGGTGCTTTGGGCTCTGCATTGGCCCGGGAGCCTGCTTGGGATTCTCTCTCTCCTGCTCCCTCTGCCCCTCTTCTGCCAAACAAAGGTAAAGTAAAGAAAATATTTTTAAAAAGTAGTTATTGTATTCAGTATTTTTTTCTTTTCCTTTTCTTATATTTTAGGGAACCATGGATTTCGGATTCAGTTTTGAGTAAAACAAGTGTAGGGAGATCAAAAATTCCTCATCATAGACATTGAATATTTAAATTTCTTTTGGTTAAGTCAGTCCACTTAGTTATAAATGTGCATACAGAGGGGACCTTGGTTTTTAAACATAAAACTGGCCAGAGTCCCAGCTAGGAGTGGGGTTGGGGAGGCATGATCAAGGCATTTTGATGACTGAAATCCCATGTCTTAGAGATTTTTCAGGAACAACCTGATTCTAGAAGGAATCAGACAAAAAGACAGCACAATCCCAAGCAGGAGTTGGATGGAAGACTAGCACACTTCCAATGGGCACAGTTCCAAAGGGAATAATCCAATCCCCAAAAGGAGTCAGATCAAAAGCTAGCACAGTTTCATCAGGAACAGTCTGATTCCAAAGAAGAGTTGGACTAAAAGCCAAATGAGTACTCTCAGAGATCAAAACAAAACAAAAAAAACCCTAAAAACAAAAAACAAACAAACAAAAAGGCCTTGAAATGGATCCCAAATAAAGCCTGGATAGCTCAGACACAAAGTGTGGAGCTCAAAATCTGGAAGAAAACTTACCCTCAAACCCAAGGTTGGCAAGAAAGCAGTAAGACCAATTGGCTCTTGGGTACTGTAACCTGTTTGCTCACCAGCCTCAGGGCTGTTGGGGGTCTTTTCTGCATCCCCAGATGGGCCAACAAGTAATGTTAACCTTAACCTTCAAAGTGCCAGTGATTTTACTAGCAAAAGATGGGTTTATTCAGGAATAGCAGAGAATTGCAATACAGACAAGCAAGCTGCAGCGAAATCATAGGCAAGTCTGCCAAATAAGGAATGGAATGCTCTTTTATAGAGGAGAGCAGGAAGTTGGGGAAAAGGTTATCAACAAAATGGAGTAAACTGGGAGCTGGAAGTATAGTGGCTTTTCATTGGATGAATTGTGACCGTCTCTCATTGGCTGGTCTGTTGCTGGGGTGGGGAGCAGGATGGGGAAAGACTTCCTCCCTCCTGCTGGGATAGTAAAATAGTAGGCAAAGGAGCTTCCATATGCAAGCTCTGTGTCTATTCCAGTTGGATTTGTAACTGAGGATAAGTGGTAGGTAAGGCATAAGATCCCCCATCCCCGCATGCCCCTACCCCCGCCAAATCTCCTGACTCAATTTGAGAGAGGTTTCTCGTAATTTTCACACTGTTCCAAAATCTTTTTGGTAAGTTGAAACTTTAGAGTTTTACTAAGTTAAATAATAGAAATTCATTGAATAGAGCATTTCCAAATAAAATAGTGAAACATTAGTTACTGAACAAAGGTTTATCTACATTTGACTTCCTTATTATAGAAAAACTAAAGATAAAAACATCTTGTGCTTTATTGGAAGATGATACAATGAAATAGCACATGCTTCTAGAAATTACAAAATATTTAATATATTTGCCAATCTAAAGGATACTGGTATAACAAACAGTTTACAACTGTTTACTTCTTAGTTTTTGCTAGAAATTGAGGCTTCTGAGTTAAGAATTTAAATTAGTATATGTAACTAAAAATATTAGAAATATTAAGGGAAACATCTCCATATGCAAGGAAATTAGGATGTGTGTTTTGAGTAAAGGAAAATATGAGAAATAAAAACACATTTTTATTGAAGGAAAAAAAAGTAAATTTGTCCTAAAGTAAAACTGGTTATTTTTAAATGGGAAAGAAGAACATCGTGGGATAAAATCTGAAAGTTGTAGATTTTTGGAAGGAAATCCTTAGAAAGGAATTTTATGCATGCTCAGGACTGGCTCAGACTGGAATTAATTTAATTGAGTGAAAGTTTTAATATCAAAAGTAAACTAGTACAAAATTAGAATTTGGTTTTCTCTTTGTTAAAAGAACAACATTGCCTTGTATTACTGGTCTGCTTTTGATGAGAGATTAGAAGAGGTTTTATATTATTTTATTTTATTTTTTTTTTTACCTTTTAAAGTAATCTGCCTAAAAAGCAAAGATTTTATTTTATCAAAATAATTCCCTGTACTTCATGTTACCTTTATCATCAGGGCTTTAATTACTTATGTAAACCTAATTCTCTTGATATTAAAAGAGCTAAGCTTTGCTCAGAATAATGTACCCTTATTATATATTTACCTGTGAAGTCTTTGTCACTTTGGTTACATAGATAACTTAGTGTTGTTTCACAGTGACCTATGTTCCTATTTATTCACGTATCCAAAACTTTTCATATTTTTTACAAGATTCCCAAAATAAATTCTCTCTTTTTTAAAAAGATTTTTTAATTTATTTTAGAGATAGAGAAGGAGAGAGCATGAGAGCAGGGGAAGGAGCAGAGGGAGAAGGACAAGTAGACTCCCTGCTGAGTCCAGAGCCTGACATAGGGCTCAATCCCATGACTGTGAGATCATGACATGAACTGAAATCAAGAGTTGGCCACCCAACTGACTGAACCACATAGGCACTCATCCAAAAATAAATTCTAAATGAAGTCCTTTTAGGGGCATCTGGGTGGCTCAGTGGGTTAAGACTCTGCCTTCGGCTCAGGTCATGATCTCAGGGTCCTGGGATCGAGCCCCGCATTGGGTTTCTCTGCTCACTAGGGAGCCTGATCACCGCCCCCCCCCCACCTATTTGCGATTTCTGTCAAATAAATAAACAAAATCTTTAAATGAAGTCTTTTTAACTTTGTGATATTCTGGACTGTACATGGAACATCTCAAAAAACCCAAAAAAACAAAAAACAAATAAGTTATAACAACAAAAACCCCTTGTTAAACTAATTAAGCTTATTTAGTATTTTAAACTACATGGAAAGCATTGTCAAAAAAGTGATACTAAACCTCCTTAGATTATATATTTATTTTATCTTATTTATTTATTTGACAGAGAGAGATCACAAGTAGGCAGAGAGGTAGGCAGAGAGAGAGAGAGAGGAGGAAGCAGGCTCTCTGCTCAGCAGAGAGCCTGATATGGGGCTTGATCCCAGGACCCTGAGATCATGACTTGAGCCGAAGGCAGAGACTTAACCCACAGAGCCACCCAGGTTCCTCTAGATTATATTTTTATAGATATATATTAATAAGTGTTCTAGAAATGGTATGAAATTCCTAAAAATCTGCTCTGTTCTGATATAATATTATCACTTGTAATTCTAGTTATCTCAAAGTGCTGTGTGTCAAGGAAATAACCACACTTCCTTGTCAACTGCATTGTAGAGAATTCTCATTAGATCTTTAACCATGGCAATTTTAAAATTTTTATCATTTACAGAGAGTTGTTATTTCACTCTGATGCTTTTTCAAAAGTGTTTGCAAAGTGCCTTATCTTCAAGGAGACTCATGGAAGGTCTTCTAGAATACAGGTTTCTGAAAACTAAGATTATAAAACTGAACTGGGTAAGAATTTCTAGAATCAATGGTAAATTTGGGTCTAGGCAGAAAAAAATTTACATGGGACTGAATGAACTAATAAAGATGATTGTACTTTTTGTGACTTTTTGTTGATTTTTAAAATGTTTTGTTTTTCCCAATTTTGAAAAATTATTCTCTTAAGCTGACTATAACTTACAGAAGGTTGGTAAAATATACCTTCATGAACAATCAGATATTTGTCTTTTTCTCCCTACCTTGTCCCTCCAGAATCTGGAACTTTCAGTGAGGACTCTTATATTTTCATGGTTGTATATTTATTTTCATAAGTTCAGTAAGAATCTCTTCTCCCTGTGATAGGACACAATTGGAAACATCAGTTTTGTTATTGAAGCTTTATGGAATGTTGTATTTGAGAGAGACATGCTCTAAAGAATGAGACAGGAAAATTTAAGGAACCAAGATTGACTTTATGGAGCCAATAAAGCCCCTTGGAAAAATAGCCTGGTACCTTGTTTACAAGGTTTCTAGCTCCCTTACCAGATGAGGAAAGTCACTTCCTGGCAGGTGCAGGAAACTTTAGGATATTTTGGGGACCTCAAAAAGATTGGAATTCACCCAATATATATGCATTGCATGCGTGTCTAACAGCAGATCCTTGGCTTGGCTTCCTGGCCTTGAGAGGCGTTTAAAAGTTCAATCTGACAACCTCTTTGACCTCAGCCGCAGCAACATCTTCCTAGGAACATCACCAAATGCAAGGGAAGCAAGGGCAAAAATGAACTATTGGGATTTCATCAAGATCAAAAGCTTTTGCACAGCAAAGGAAACAGTTAACAAAACCAAAGACAACTGACAGAATGGGAGAAGATATTTGCAAACGACATATCAGATAAAGGGCTAGTGTCCAGAATCTATAACGAACTTAGCAAACTCAACACCCAAAGAACAAATAATCCAATCAAGAAATGGGCAGAAGACATGAACAGACATTTCTGCAAAGAAGACATCCAGATGGCCAACAGACACATGAAAAAGTGCTCCATATCACTCGGCATCAGGGAAATACAAATCAAAACCACAATGAGATATCACCTCACACCAGCCAGAATGGCTAAAATTAACAAGTCAGGAAACAACAGATGCTGGAGAGGATGCGGAGAAAGGGGAACCCTCTACACTGTTGGTGGGAATGCAAGCTGGTGCAACCACTCTGGAAAACAGCATGGAGGTTCCTCAGAAAGTTGAAAATAGAACTACCCTATGACCCAGCAATTGCACTTCTGAGTATTTACCCTAAAGATACAAACGTAGTGATCCGAAGGGGCACGTGCACCCGAATGTTTATAGCAGTAATGTCTACAATAGCCAAACTATGGAAAGAACCTAGATGTCCATCAACAGGTGAATGGATAAAGATGTGGTATATATACACAATGGAATACTATGCAGCCATCAAAAGAAATGAAATCTTGCCATTTGCAATGACGTGGATGGAACTAGAGGGTATCATGCTTAGCGAAATAAGTCAATCGGAGAAAGACATTTATCATATGATCTCCCTGATATGAGGGAGAGGAGATGCAACATGGGGGGTTAAGGGGGTAGGAGAAGAGTAAATGAAACAAGATGGGATTGGGAGGGAGACAAACCATAAGTGACTCAATCTCACAAAACAAACTGAGGGTTGATGGGGGGAGGGGGTTTGGGGGGGTGGGGTTATGGACATTAGGGAGGGTATGTGCTATGGTGAGTGCTGTGAAGTGTGTAAACCTGGCGATTCACAGACCTGTACCCCTGGGGATAAAAATATATTAATGTTTATAAAAAATAAAATAAAAAAAAACTAACAAAAAAAATAAATAAAAATAAATAAATTAAAAAAAATAGAAATGCAAAAGAAAAACACAGGTGTATGTATCAAAAAGTTCAGGTTAGGTTATTATGGAATTTGATGTACTGGACAGCTCGCTGTGATGGTAAATAGGTTAAAAAATTATCTAAAAAAAAAAATGAGCCAGAATAGTGGGAACAAATTAAAAATAAAAGTTGTCCTATGAAATAAAAAAAAAAAAGTTCAATCTGAGACTCCTTAAGAAAAGTTCCAGAAAAACAGATTTAAAAAGGACCTATATAGATAATTGCTATTCTTTTTTTTTTTTAATTTTTTTATTAACATATAATGTATTATTAGCCCCAGGGGTACAGGTCTGTGAATCACCAGGTTTACATACTTCACAGCACTCAACATAGCACATACCCTCCCCAGTGTCCATAACCCAGCCACCCTATCCCTACCCCCTACCCCTGGCAACCTTCAATTTGTTTTGTGAGATTAAGAGTCTCTCTTGGTTTGTTTCCCTCCCGATCCCATCTTGTTTCATTTATTCTTTTCTTACCCCCCAAAACCCCATGTTGCCTCTCAACTTCCTCATATCAGGGAGATCATATGATAAGACAATTGCTATTCTTATTGCACTTATGTAATCAGACCAAGTTTACTAAAACTTAAATGTTTTGGCAAACAAATTCGTCTTAATTTGCCCATTTTTGTTGGAAATGAGGATGATTTTATTTTTATTTGTTTATTTTTTATAGTTCACAGATTTATTGTGAGAATTAAAAGGAGAGGGTAATAACATGTACCCAGCAAATATTAACATAGTAAACAAGAAATGAATTCCAATATTACAATTACGGTGAGACGGTTGTAATATATGCATTACAAGTAACATATGCATGCATACATAACATGAAATATTTAATATTCAGTAAAATTCTTATATATGTGTGTATATTCTTTTTTGTGTATGTATTCTTTTTAATTAAATATTCTTTTTTTAGATTTTATTTATTTTATTTGACAGAGAGAGAGCACAAGAAAGGGGAACAGCAGGCAGAGAAGAGAGGAGAAGCAGGCTCCCTGCTGAGAAGAGAGCCTGATGTGGGGCTTGATCAGAGGACTCTGGGATCATGACCGAAGTCAAAGGCAGACGCTTAACTGACTGAGCCACCCAGGCACCCCTAATTTAGCAAATTTTTAATTTAAATTCAATTTAGAACATACAGTGTATTATTAGTTTCAGGGATAAAAATACAAACTGGAGCAGCCACTCTGGAAAACAGTATGCAGTTTCCTCAAAAAGTTAAAAATAGAACTACCCTATGATGCAGCAATGGTACTTCTAGGTATTTATCCAAAGGATATAAAAATTGTGATTCGAAAGGGCACATGCAAGCCAATGTTTATAGCTGCAATGTCAACAATAGCTAAAATGTGGAGAGAGCCCAGATATCCACCGACAAATGAATAGATAAAGATGTGTTATAATATATATATCATACATAATATAATTATTATATATACACACAATGGAATATTATATAATAATAAATAATTATTATACATTCTATGGAATATTTCTGAGCCATCAAAAAGAATGAAATCTTGCCATTTGAAATGACCTGGATGGAACTAGAGGGTATTGTGCTAAGTGAAATAATTCAAGCAGAGAAAGACAAATACCATATGATTTCACTCATATATGGAATTTAAGAAACAAAGTAGATGAACATACGGAAAGGGAAGGAAGAATAAAATAAGATAAAGAGAGAGGGAGGCAAATCATAAGAGACTCTTGGCTCTAGGTAACAAACGGGGTTGCTGGAGAAGAGGTGTGTAGGGGATGGGGTAACTGGGTGATGGGTATTAAGGAGAGCACTTGATGTAATGAACACACTAGGTGTTATATGCAACTGATGAATCAGGAAATGAGGATGCTTTCAGAGAGAAAAGTTATTTTAGTAACACACCTTTGTAGGTATTATATTCTAGTTCTGATGAATTGTCTTTAAGCATTTGTTGTTTGCCTATAAACCAAAGTGGACCTGGAATTCTTCTGGTTTCCTCAAGGATCTATGATTCTTCAAACTAATGTTTCCATTTTTTTCTCAGTCTTTTGATTTGGAACCAGTGAGAACTAAGCCTGCCCTTTTTCCTGGAGCTCTGCAAACTGAAGCTAGATGACTTGGTATGAGCTTCAGTGAAATCATCACAAGAGCTTATCTTTAGACAATCTGAGTGCTTGTTCCTGTGTGGGCCCTCAGAGTTTACCTGAACACCCAATGACATCATCAGAAACATTCAAACTGCAAATGATGCTTTGACCCTTACATCTGTCAATGGCATGTTCCATTTCTGGCATCAGTTCTTGAGCTTAGTCAAGAAAGAATTCAGAGCCAAACTCTTAGGTAAGCAAGTGTTAATAGCAGTTTAAGCAAAAGTACACCCTCAAGATAGGAACGTGTGCAGGCCCAGAGGTGGGAGCTGCATGGGGGGGGGGGGTCAGTTTTGTCTTTTCTTTTTATGTTTGGATAGGTTATGACTTATAACTAGGGCAGTTTCTGACTCAGGTCACAGCCAAATCATAGAGGGGACCTCCCCTACTAGTTGGGAGGGGGAGTTTTGGCCCTATATGGTCCTTGTCTGAACTGACCTGGCAGCCATTTTCTGCAAGGTGGGTTAAAACCACAATGTGAATGTATTATAATGAAGCCACAGGTTACTATAGGGCAGTGGTCATTCGGAAGAACACACAAATATCCCTTGGGGTCTGTCCAGGCTGTTTGGAGCTTGGCCTCCACACCCTTTCATAGGCTGGAAAGCATTTGTTTCCTACTCATATCGTGCTAACCGCCTACTCTATCACATCTAGAAATCTCTTCTCTTGCCTGCCCTCAGGACTCAGACTGTCTTTATAGTCAACTCCATTCATTAACTTTTCGTTTTCTTTTGCTTCTACAGAAATGCCTTATTAAATACCCAATTTCTCACACAATATAGACCTAACTTTGGGAGTCTTTGCAAGGAAAAACCTGCAAGACCCACCTCCTGAAATGAGACACAACCATTACATTAAACTGACCTCTTCTTTGGAATAAGAGACTGGGTCAGTGAAATGTTCACTCTATCAACCTCACTTCTGGACTGTAAAACTTGGGGAAATTTCAAAGGCAAGACCATAGGGGAGCAGAATTTGCCACCTCCAAATATGTCCCTTTGGTGTAAGGATTGTGCTAAGTGTTTTTTTGTTGTTTGTTTGTTTTTAGAATCTGCGAACACTGAAGAAGCTCTGAAAACCAAGTCATACTTCATTAAGGGACATTTACATGTATGTATAAGGCAAATCTCCATTTGTAAAGGTGTCTCCCTTGGCTATACCAGGAAGAGGGGGAGAAGGTCTCAGCCTGTAGAAACTCTTTTCAGTGGTGAAGGCAGTGACTTATATCTGCATAACAACCCTCCCCTCCTAACCGTGCTTTTCCTGGCAATCTCCTGTAACTAACTCTTC